ACGCAAGCATGCACGCACGCACACACGCACGCACACGTACGCACGCACGCACGCACGCACGCACACACGCACGCACACGTACGCACACACGCACGCACACACGCACACACGTACACACGCACACACACACTCACACACACACACACACACACACACACACACACACACATACGCACACTCACACACACACACACACACAGACACAGACACGTACGCACGCACGCACACACGCACGCACACGTACGCACGCACGCACGCACGCACGCACACACGCACGCACACACACGCACACACACGCACGCACGCACACACACACGCGCGCGCGCAGACACTTATGCGCACACGCACGCACGCATGAACATGCACACATACGCGGCAAAGTACGCACGCTTGCACGCACGCACGGATGCACGCACGCACGAACGCACGCACGCACGCATGAACATGCACACATACATGACAACATACGCACGCACGCGCGCGCACGCCCGCACAAATTATATACTCAGTAAACACAGTCAGTATACGAAACGGCAGCATTTAATAGGTGTAATACATCAGTAAATATATGTGTCTCGGAATTTACCCGTTTACGTGGAATTACTACTATGTTTTGATCTGTAAGACCGAGTTAAATTAACTCCCATTGTGCCCGTTTTGAACCCTTTATCCCAGGACGTAATAGTGTAGGAATTAGAAGACAGTTTTACAGGTAACCAGAAGACGGCACACCACTAACGTCCTACGTCTCATATAGAATCATCGTGAGTTATTAAACCAAAACAAAATTGTCGTAAACCAAAAACAAATGGTTAGTCATTAGGGTTCGAGTACAAGATTTTCCACGAAATAGGTTATTGCTCATGAATACGCGCTTACTAAAGACGAATATCGATATTTTACGGCAGTAGAAACTAGGCTCAATAATACGATCACTACGGTATCTTCTATAATGCATCACGATCATATCACCTATAGGGCACATCAATTAGTTAATTGCTGTAGTCACGGTAATGTCTTGCTAAAAAATAATAGATCTGTGTGACGATGGGACTTTAATATTCACAGCTGGGCAAATACATGAATCATTGATTGGCCCATATATGTTCCTCGGACCTCCCAGAGCGTCTAGAACTATCTCCCCAGAGTTTTCCAGCTCATGACAGATGACCCTGCATTTTGCGGCGTTAATAAAGGTCTGTTAGGGACGTGTTGATTGTTGATAACAGTACAATACTACCGTGTGGCATGGACATCATGCGTAGAACATATTTTATCATGATGTGTTGCTGATGTACGGTACATCTACAGTCCATGTCGGTTTAAGGGAACTCGTGATATATTATAATTATTCTGAATTTGTTTGAAACAAGTTAATAAAATCATAAGATAATAAACAATGTTGCTGACCACATGCAATAACGATTTATGTTATCGCTATTATTTAAAGTGACCTACGTTAGACATAGCTTATATAACGAATGTCGTCAGATATTCTGAATACAATCACAACGTGTATCTGGCTTTTGATACGATGGTAAGCAACAAGATTATTACTTGCAATAATTTAATCGAAAATACCACAAGAGCACGCGGTGGAATATAGTAAAAATACGCAAAATACTCACTCGTTAATGTAGACGCAGGCATGGTGACAGTGGCGCACGGGTTTACAGACAGTTATATAAAACACCTCACACTTTCTATTCCACCGTGTTACCGCTACGCGTAGAGCCTTTCTTTACAGTCCTTACTTTTCTTATTCTGTCGTCGTCGGCGTGGATTCCGGCAGCGTAATGTTGACGACTACCCAGCCACTGTTCATGAACTGCTCGCAAAGCGAACCTGTCCGGCAGCCGGTTACCTTTTTATTGACGCCTGGTTAGCACTGCCCGTTGACGCTTCTTCTAATCTTTCGCTGACGACGGTTATTAAGAGTCATTCGAGTTTGAGCGGCTCGTGCTTGTGGTCTGCGCAGCCGTCAAGAGAGAGAGAGAGAGAGAGAGCGAGAGAGAGAGAGAGAGAGAGAGAGAGCCGTGGGCCAGGCAGCCGGGGAGCAAGTAGAAGTCAATTTATTGCGCAGGGGGGACCAGAGTGCGCGTGCTTACGTCAGCGAGTGTTTTGAGTGTGTGCAATCAGATTTTCGTCAGAAGGGTGGTTCGCGCCTTCACATACATGTTGATATGCACGCGCGCACGCACGCGCGCACGTGACCGTGCACATACATGCACACGAACACTAATACGAGCACGCACACGCGTACCCGCACGCACGCCCACATGCAGGTACGCACGCACGCACGCACGCATGCAGGTACACACGCACGCACGCACGCACGCCCAAACACATACGTACCACCGCGAACAGTAATTAGTCACTAGCCACAAATGATTACTCGAAAATGAGTACTCGAGATTAGGGCAGATTGAAAACGCTTACACTCATTCAGCAAACACCATTCATGGCTCGGCTTAGTCGAAACTAGTCACTGGCGTAGCGTGGTCCGACGAATTAGCTTTACCTTTGAGCAGTGGTGGGCGTGATGGATTAATTAACCATCCTTTGTTACAGCCAGAGCACGAGTGTATTAAAAATATCCTGCAGTATATCTTCACAGAGTTATAATCTCTGATATGCGTGTAATAGTATCGATTTAATCAGTGTCAGTAAAATCTGGCGGACGTTTGATCGTATTGAATCACAACCGCCACTGTTTGATTCTAAGGAACATGCACTGATTCAGAGACCTACTGACGTATGATGTGAAACTCTACAAGTGAAAGCCCGCATTAAGTCATATGTGTGCACGTAATGTACGTGCGCCTAAATAGTAAGAAGAGAAAGTACGACAAGAATGCCTTTAAACGGAGGTAATCGTTGCGTTTTTAACAAATCACGCGATCGCATAGCTAATCAAAAGGCGTGATTGTCATATAACTTTACATAAAAATGTTTAGTAAAAATTGTTCATTTCATGCTCAAGGCCTACAGCTACTACTAGCATGCTAACATTCCTTTATGAACGTTTTGTAATGAAGCATGTTTAGTACGCTCATGTATGCACTACACTGTAAAACTGTTTATGCCATATACCTGTTTGTGCCATCACTTAACGATGCTACCATCACAGTATTGGAGATATTTTGTATATCGTATAATGTAATGTACATGCGTGTTTCTGGAAATAAAGGGCATTATTAAAAAAACTAACCAAAAGGCATCGTAGCCAGGGCGGTTGCCTCTGGGGGGCAAGGGGGGGGGGGCAGCTGCCTCCTAGATTTTGGAGCAAAATTAAAAAATAAGCTTAGCTAATAATCGTAAATAACCCTAATGTGATTTTTGGGGTTACTTATCCGTGAAAGACTTGTCTCAAAACCCAGTCCCTACCACACTATGGACATCGATCAAGAGCTGCGCCCGTCGCTCATCATTACACAGTTGAGTCATGAAATTTTGCCCCCCCGCCCTTAGGAATTTGCTCGGCCTACGGCCATGGTAGCCATGTAACTACGTCATTATACGTAACAATGCTGTTTTAAATTTTACATTATTGCTCTAATATAAACGGGAGAACGTATAATTGTGCATATAATTTTGTTTCTTGATTCGCCACAGTTATCGTATAGTAAGCAGTAGCAGTAGCAAGTAGTAGCAGCAAATGAGATATTAATGAATAGTTAATTCCTGATATGTCTAAAACCACACTTATTGACAGATATGGTCTGTGTAGGTAATTGTAGAGCGGCGAACGTCATACAAATAATATATAAAAACACTTCAATATGCAGTAGGAAGTAGAATCGTATATGGAAGTTGACTCAGATAGTAATATTCCGGTTGGAAAATCGTCAAATGTTTTAGCGCGTGTAACGTAGCCCCCCCCCACACACACACACGCGCGCGCGCACACAGCGAGAAACTAATTCAGGTAACGTCTGCAGTCGTCTTTCTACGGATAGGAGTTGAGTAAACCAATATGAAGGCGATAGCAGAGAACCAGACGGACAATTCGAGTGTGCCAACATTAAGTGTTCTTCACAATGCGCGCCGCTGCGCATTTTCTTGCAAATTTGCAACCGAAGCTGCTAGCTGTTACGCGTACTGCAGCAAATGAACCGACTGATGAACTTTTGTCTCAGGCGTGACTCGCATTTGCTAGTTTCACTTCACGGTGCGAATAACGGGTTTACGGTGTTAACTTACGCTAGTGGGAGACAAGTGTGCGCGCGTGTGGATGGTGCGCTGAAAATCGGAAATCCTATACGCGTTACACTTTACGGTCTCGAGGCAATGTACGGCCAGTCAGTGAGATTTTCTTCTCGTAGCAGTTGATTGGTGAAGCGGATACTGCGCATGTTTCTACGACACTTAACGACGGAATTTTCGTATGATAGTGATTTGAGCATTTTCATGCCTATCTATAATCGGTTTATAGAGCAATAAAGATCTGATTTAGCGAATCGCCGCCAAGATCTGCGTTATGTGTAGACTCAGAATGTTTTCATGTGCATTGCGAAGCATGTTGCAAGTTTGCATAGTAAATGACTCACCGCTCAGTGTTTACGTGTTTAATTGTTTATGCATAATGTGAAGAACAGATTAAACATTTATGAACAACTAGTTACAACAATGAAAACGCTTGGATAATTTTGAAATTTTTTATATTTGCAGCATTCAATTTGAAGCGATGTGTGATATTAAATCTTGTGAAATTTTAAATTAATAACAGTCTGAAATAATTTCGGTCACAATTTTCAGTAGTAAAATTTATATACTTATTATTATATATACTTGATATTTATATAACACTTCAAAATCTTAAAATTCATCACTGAGAATGAAATTTAAAATACCAACTATCTGAGTGATTATTGTCCTACTATTATATCCTATTATATTAATTTTATAGCAGAACTGTTTGCAAAATTGTAAGTATCTGTAGGCGGTAATATAAACAGACGGTGATTCATAGTATTAGGCATTTGGAAATCTTACATCAATTCTTTTTATAACAGTCATAGTCCCCTCAACATGTATGGTGCAATGCAAAAAACCGTGTTCGTTGACGATTAAAATGTACGGTCAAGTTGTTTAAACATTACTTTACATAATACTGGGTGAATACTGAGTTATCGTATAGTTTTACAGCGGTAACAAACCCTACTAACTATAATACGGAAGCACCTCGTCAACCCAAATCCATCTATTCTTATTTGCGGATAGCTCAACACACTGCATTCAGGTACGCATTATGTGTGTGCTCTATGTTTTCGGAATCTATAATATATCGGAATCGTATAAATAGACACGGACGAAAGATCAGAAATTAGTTACCTACCCAGGAGACGTGCGTGAGTTATTACCCAGATCATACGTGAGTTATATACATGGTCATTCCTATCAAGATGTAGCGGATGAGGCCGGGCCTAGGCTTGGGTGCTTAAGTCGCCGTAGTGTATAGAATTTTGTATTGTGTTTACTAATAAAGTCAGTCTTCAAGAACAAATTCTGCGACTACGTCGTCTTTACTCCTTGCTGCAATCATCTACGATGCCAAATGCCGATGGAAAAAACAACAACTTTTCCCAGTACAACAATTGGCGGAGGATGCAAAATTTAATATGTAATATGTAATAATGCAAATTTTAATTAATATTAAGCCTATGCGATGAGAAAGGCGAGACGCCTAGCCGCTTCTAAAGTATGACCTCGAATGTTGCAATTTAGGGAAGCCGCATTCGGCGTGTTATTATCCCTGCCAACAGAGGCATATCCCAGATAGCATGCTTACGTTGGGCCAACGTTGGCATTTGGTTGACACGGTCACGGTTGGCAATATGACGTTTGGCCAACGTTGGCACGGTCATGGTTGGCATGTGGTTGACTGCATGCCGTTGGGCCAACGTTGGCGTATAGTTGGCACAATGCTAGTTGGCCAGTGGTTGGCTACATAACGTTGGCCCAACGTTGGCGTATGGTTAGCATGATGCTAGTTGGCAAGTGGTTGGCTGCATGAAGTTGGGCCAACGTTGGCGTATGGTTGGCATGATGCTAGTTGGCACAGTTGCGTTGGCTGCAGTTGACGTTGGGCAACGTTAGGTGTATTGGTTGCATGGTACAGGTTGGCAAGTGGTTGGCTGCATGCCGCTGGAGCAACGTTGGGAATGGTTGGCAATGCGTCAGGTTGCAAATGCGTTGCAGGCAATGAACGTTGGGCCAACGTTTGTGTATGATTGGTATGGTCACGGTTGGACAGTTGTTGGCTCGATAGACATTGGGAACGTTGGTGTATGGTTTGGCTGGTCAGGCTTTGGCAAGTGCGATTGCGTGCAATGACGTTGGGCGACACGTGGCAAATAGTTGGCATGGTCACGGTTGGCAAATTGGTTGGCCTGCATGACGTTGCAGGCACGTTAGCCGATGGTTGGCATGATCACGGTTGGCAAATGGTTGGCGGCATGCACGTTGGGCCAAACGTTAGGCGTAATGAATTGAGCTAATTATCCACGTGGCAAATGGGGCGCATGACATTGGCCACGGTTGGCGTATATTATAATCATGTCGACGATTTAGGCAAATGGTTAGGCTCATGTCGGTGGGCCAACGTTGCCGTATGATTGGCATGATACTAGTTACAAGGGTGCTATTCTTAATACTAGTATTACGGGTGCCATAGCATGTTATAATTTGTTTACAGGACATGCACCATGGTGCACGTACAACATTTGTGTATGCAGAGGATTGCTATTTAGCTAGGATTGAGTAACATATTATTGGCGTATTAAACATATGTTGGCGTATGATTGGCATGATGCTATATAATAGGTACAAAGGGTTCTCATTTTAATACTAGTTTACGGGATGCCGCTGATCCGGACCATAGTCATCATGAAAATGTCAGTTACAGCACACAGCACCATTGCGAGTTTGCACGTGCACATTTGTGTATGCAGGGCATTATTACATTTGTAGC